AGTCATGCGAAACGCCCAGCCCGCCCTAAAAACTTGCCCCGGGTGCGGCAGGGAGAAATTATTGACAGGGCAAAGGAATGGAGGAGGAGGAGGGGGCGGGTTCTTTGGAGTCTCTGCCCGATCGCGTAGCGATGTGTATGATTAAATGTCCGCCACCCGCTGCTGGGTGTTCTTGTCTCTGGCAGCCTTCTCAGCCCGACTGAGGATCTTGGGCCAGAGACCGAGTGCGATTCTTCTGAGGTATTCTTTCCCAGTGGCCGTGGCATCTTGACAAGGGTCCCCGAGCTTCCCGAGGAGCTGATGCGCGATGGCGCCACACTGGGAACAACACCAAAGACCCAGCCCAGCGTGGAACCTTGACCGATGGGTATTATGAACGTTTCCCCCAGTAATGTGAACCTGTTGTCCGGGGGGGGATCATACAATTGCCATCTACATTTAAGAGTTCAATGCATTCAGACTGGAGCCACTGGGATCTCGTTTCCATTGAGGGAATTGCCTCGTTGGAAGAGAACTGTTTGAAGACCCTGAAGCATGCCAAAACTGTTCTCGGGATTCCAACGCCACGGCTCAACCTGGTTGTTGCGTCCTGACAATCCCACATCGTGCCAGAACGCCATTCTTGGGATTTCAACACCGCTAATCAACGTAACTGTTGTGCCCGCACAGTCCTGAACCCGTCCAAACCACCATTCCTGGCACATTGATCATGGGACTCCGTGAAACTCTTGCAGCCATATAAAAAGTGCGCGGCGCTAAGGCGAAAGCCACATATTAAACACGACCCGCCCTCCATATGTGAAGCTGTTGAAAATATCCGAGCTTCAGAGTCATGGGTGGTGGGGAAGTCTTATGCGAAACGCCCAGCCCGCCCTAACAAATTGCCCCGGGTGCGACAGGGAACAAGGAGGAGGAGGAGGAGGAGGAGGAGGAGGAGGAGGAGGAGGAGGTGGATGTGGAGAGGTAGGAGGGAGGAGGAATGAGGGAGGACGGAGGGAGGAGGGAGTAGGGAAGAAGCAGGAGGCAGGAGGCAGGAGGGGGGAGGGATGAGGGAGGAGGGAGGAGGGAGGTGGTTGGAGGGAGGAGGGAGGAGCAGCAGGAGGAGCAGGAGGAGGAGGAGGAGGAGGAGGAGGAGGAGGAGGAGCAGCAGCAGGAGGCAGGAGGAGGAGGAGGAGTGCGTTCCGAGGCGAGTTCGAGCTGGCCAGGACTTCCGCGCTCCCCCCCGCTGCCGCCGCCCTCCCCCCCCTCCAGCGCGCGCGCGCTGCTCTCCGACCCCCCGCGCCGAGTCCCTGGCCCCCCCTCCCCCCACAGCCTCAAAGCCTCAAGACCACATAGGGTTGGTGGTACACTAGGGAAGCTGGAGCTCCTCCTCCTCTGCCTCCTCCTCCTCCTCCTCCTCCTCCTCCTCTTCTCTTTCTTCTCCTCCCGCTTCCTCCTCCTCCTCCTCCCGCCTTTTCCTCCTCCTCCTCCTCCTCCTCCTCCTCCTCCTCCTCCTCCTCCTCCTCCCGCCTCCTCCCCACGTGTCCGCGTGTCGGTGCCCTCCTCCCGCCGCCGCCTTCTCCCCCTCCTCCCGCATGTTTCTGCTCCGCCTGGTCAGATCCGTGGGTCTGCAGCCTCTCCAGCTTCGGCCATGGTTTGGGGTCCTTCCTCCCAGTAGTTCAGCCTTGCCGCGGGGGGGTGCCAATGGGGACCGCGTGCCGAGCATAGCCGAGAGCCCGTGCTGATCCTCCCGCCTGCCTCCCTCCCGAGGGGGTTTGAGGGCTCTTCTCCGATCGAGCTGCGAGAAAGCTCAGGAACTCTAAGTAAAAGGGCGCAAGGCGACGTACATCCAGACACATCGATCAGCATCCAGAGATCTCCAGATACCCCTGGCGAGGTTATGGAACATTCAACGCACATGGCGGGGCATAACACGTAGTTCAGTCCTCACTGACCTGCCCCCTCCCCTGCCTGTTGCTTCCTCTTGCCTCCTACATCCGATCTATTCCTGCAAACTGCGCAAGTGCCAACACTTGCTTGAACCCCTGGGGGTCAAGCGGGGCTCGGTCTTAAATAGATCCCACCAGTACCTCGTTTTTCCTGGGTGGCCGCATACACATTGAGAAATGCATATCTTTATATATATATATATATATATATATATACAAGGCTGCATTGGCGCTTCGCGCCATGCACCTTGTTCATTGAAGGTTTGGAATGGTTGGCCCGTGGTGCCTTCCTTTTTTCCATTTTAGCCGCGGTTCGCTGGTTCGTACTTCGGAGAAGCGCAGGAAGAGCAGAAAGGGGGGCAATCAACCTGGGACGGGCCAAAACTGCGAGTTGGAGGCCGCGGGCGCATGGAATGGCGCATATGAGTGGGGGCCGCGCGGGAAACAGCTGGAATCCCGGGTTCGCAACCGAATTTCTGGAGAATTGGTTGCGAACCCGGGATTATGAGCATAATGCGGCTATTATTCAGGGAATAGATGAAGGGGGCGCGGGGCGTCGGAGTGGTGCGATTTCGAGGGCGGCGGGTTTGACGGGCAGGGTGTTGGTCGGCTTGGCTCTTATGAGCCGTCGGGGCCCCCTTTTGAGTGCCGCTGGGCCGCCTTGGGGCGCTGAAGCCCTTCTGGCCTCTTCCTCCTCCTCCTCCTCCTCCTCCTCCTCCTCCTTCCCCTCCTCCACCTCCTCCTCCGCCTCCTCCTCATCCTCTTCCTCCTCCTCGTTCTCCTTTTTTCTCTGCCTTCTTCTCCTCCTCCTCCTCCTCCTCCTCCTTCTCCTCCTCCGCTTAAGCCAATGGAAAATTAACGATTTGGAAGCTTTTTGGAGCTTCGCTGGAGCTTCGCAGGGAGCCTCCCGAAGCTCTTTGGAGCTCTCTTGGGGCCTCCTTGGGCCCTTTCGGGGCGGGAGGCTCGTATTTTCATTTATCTGGTCCTCCCTGGGGCCCTTCTTTGGGCAGTCTCGGAGCGTTCGTGGGTCGTCTTGGACCGTCTTGGGGCGCGTCTTGGACCGTCTTGGGGCTTTTCAGGTCGCTCTGGGAGCCCCTTGGGCCGTTGTGGAGCGGTTTTGGGGGCTTCTTGGGCGGTCTTGGAACGTGGGAAACCTGAAAAACGAGGACGCTGAAGGCATTGAAAAACGAATGGGAAAGTAACTTTTTTGAAAGCCTCACCGAAACGTCTTACGGGGCCTCCCGAGTCCCTTTGGAGCTCTCTTGGGGCTTCCTTGGGCTCTTTCGGGGCGGGAGGCTCGTATTTTCAGATCGTGGTCCCCCCTAGGGCTCCTCTTTGGGCCGTCTTGGAACGTTCGTGGGCCATCTCGGACGCGTCTTGGGCCGTCTTGGGGCTTTCTCAGAGCGCTCTGCGAGCCTCTTGGGCCGTTGTGGGGCGGTTTTGGGAGCTTCTTGGGCGGTCTTCGAGCGTCGGACACCCGAAAAAGCGAGGACGCTGAAAACATTGAAAAACCAATGGAAAAGTAACAATTTGGGAAGTTTTTGGAGCCTCACCGGAGCTACTTATGGGGCTTCCCGAGGCCCTGTGGAGGTCTCTTGGGGCCTCCTTGGGCCTTCTCGGGGCGGGAGGCTCGTATTTTCAGTTCGTGGTCCCCCCTGGGGCCCCTTTTTGGGCCATCTTGGAGCGTTCGTGGGCCATCTCGGGCGCGTCTTGGACCGTTTTGGGGCGCTCTCAGCGCGCTCTGGGAGCTTCTTGGGCGGTCTTGGAGCGGTTTTGGGATCTTCTTGGGCGGTCTTGGAACGTGGGAAACCCGAAAAAGCGAGGACGCTAAAAACATTGAAAAACCAATGGAAATTCAATGATTTTGTTCTCTCGGGCCCCCTTTGAGAACGGTCTTGGGGCTCTCGCGGAGGGTCTTCAAGGCTACCCGGGTGCTATCCTGGACTGTCTTGGGTGTCTCTGTGGGCTTGCGCTGGCCGTTTTGGCACTGCCGCCCGCCTGCGCGCACGCCTTGGAAAGGATTTTCGGCCCCCACCGTGGCACGGATCCGGGGGGTACCGTTTCGGGGGGGGGGTGTTCCGCACCCCCGGAATTATTAAAATATAGAAAAGGGAATATATATATATATATATATATATGTGTGTGTGTGTGTGTGTGTGTGTGTGTGTGTTTGTGTAAAACTGTTTGCATATATTTACGTATATATATATACAAATGTTAGCCACTACGCATAGATGTGGTTGTCGGAGGTGAGGGGGCGAGATAGAAGTGGAACGGAGGGCCCCCCTACGGGGAAATCGGTTTCGGTTTCGTGTTCGTGCGTGCCGTGCGTGCGGGCGAGGCGAAGCTGCGTGGGCGGGCGAGAAAGAAGTGCCGGACCAAAAGTCTCCCTTCTGGCAACCGGTGCCCCGCGGTGTCCCGCTGGTGTCCCGCTCGGGGGCCGGTGGCGCGCGGTGTCCCGCCGGTGTCCCGCCGGTGTCCCGTCGGTGTCCCGATGATGATGATGATGATGATGATGATGATGATGATGATGATGATGATGATGATGATGATGATGATGATGATGATGATGATGATGATGATGATGACGATGCTGATGATGATGTTGACGATTATGATGATGGTGATGGTGGTGATGATGATGGTGTCCCGATGATGATGGTGATGATGATGATGATGATGATGTTGACGATGTTGTTGATGATGATGATGATGGTGATGGTGGTGATGATGGTGAAGCCCGATGATGTTGATGATGATGTTGCTGATGATGATGGTGCCATGTTGTTGATGATGATGATGATGTTGATGATGATCAGATGATTTGATGATGATGAAGATGATGATGATGATGATGATGATGGTGCCCCGATGATGATGATGATGAGGAGGTTGATGATGCTGTTGATGATGATGGTGATGATGATGGTGTCCCGATGATGATGATAATGATGCTGATGGTGACGATGATGGTGTCCCGATGATGGTGATGATGATGATGTTGATGATGAGGATGATGATGAGGCGATGATGATGATTTTGATGATGGTGGCCCAATGATGGTGATGATGATGCTGATGTTGATGATGATGATGGTGTCCCGATGATGGTGATGATGGTGATGATGGTGACGATGATGGTTGTGTTCCGATGATGATGATGATGATAATGTTGCCAATGATGATGATGGTTTCCCGATGATGAAGTTGATGATGCTGTCCATTATCATGATGATGAGATGATGGTGCTGATGATGCTGGTGGTGTTCCGATGATGATGGTGCTGTCCCGATGATGGTGATGTTGATGATGATGATGGTGACGATGATGGTGTCCCGATGATGATGATAATGGTGATGATGATGTTGATGATGATGGTGATGAGGTGATGATGATGATGGTGTCCCGATGATGCTGATCATCTTGGTGTTGATGACGTTGGTGACGATGATGTTGATGATGATGATGACGTTGATTGTGATATCGATTGTGATATCGGTTGTGAGATCGATAGTTAGACCGAACGTGAGATCGATTGTGAGATCGATAGCGGGGTCGATTGTGAGATCGATTGTGCGATGGATAGTCAGATCGATTGTGAGATCGATCGAACGAAATAGATCGAGTGAGATCGATTGTGAGATCGATCGAGTGAGATCGATCGGGCGAGACCGATAGTGAGATCGATAGTGAGATCGATAGTGAGACCCATCGAGTGAGACGTTGGTTCCTTCCCCCCCGAACCTCCTTATCACCTGAAGGGTGGTCGTATAGGTAGTTTTATATAGGTTTAGAGAGCTAAACGCAGAGGGATGGGTGGGAGGGGCGTGGAAAGGATGCGTCATTCGAATCGTAGCCCGCGAAAACGAGAGGGATGGAGGAGGCCACGCGAAGAAGCTGATCACATTCCAGTTGTGGGAGGAGGAGGGGGGGCCACATGAAGGGGCTCGTTATGATCATTATCTCACGGCTCGTGCCGTACCTTCTTGAGGTTGCGTTGCCGTTCGCAACCGCATCGCTGCTTCGATCCAGTCTCCTCGTTCCTGGTCCTCGCCGTCTCTTCTCGAGTACTGGTTCTTTTCGTCCACCGCCTTGGGCATCCCCCCCCCCTCGCGTTGCGAGGAGACCGGGGTGCTGTACCGGCACGGGCGAATACCCAGCGCGACCCCAAATTAGGAGTTTGCTTTTAAGTAAGAACCCCTTAGGCAAAGCCATTGATTTAGCGGATAGTGGGAATGTGGGCAATCAATTGGTTTCCACGGAATTCTGCATTTTTGT